GTCTGTATGTGGGATCCGAACCCTCGGGCGGGAGCGCCACCGCGCTTCCCAAGCGGCGCACTATCCAGTGCGCCACTGGGCCGGCCCCAAAAAGCCAAAATTTTAAGCCAGGAGAATTATTAAAAAATTCATAAAACAGAAGTAAAACACGGGCTGTAGAATAAGATGGGTAAAGATTAGAGTGATAAGATAAATTTAAAAATAAAACTGGAAAGTTAAAATAACTAATGTTAAAATTAAAATCAAAATGAAGTCAGTTATGAAATAATTTCAAACAGGATGAAATGCTAAATAAGTTAAGGGTGATAGCCAACAGGGTAATAGGGTAAGATATAAAATAGGATATGAGATACTTATTTAAAACAGAGTAGTATTAAAGATAAATAAAATAAAATGATTTATATGGATTTAAAAATACCATCAAAATATAAAAAAACAAAAAGTTTAAAAGTTAAAAGAAAAGAGAAGATAAAACATGTCTTGAAACATTCAAAAAGTAAGAGGGCGTGGCATTTATCCGTCTTTCCCCAAAAAACAATCTTCTAATGGAGTAGTTGTGTCTTCACGGTGGAAACAAACCGAAGAGGACAGAGAGCAATGTGACACCTCGGTCACGGAGGCTTCCCCTTGCTCCGCTCAGCAAGTCCAGAAGGCCAGCCTCACCAGCAGTAACAGGAGCAGACAGACAGGAGGTGTTCATACAGCAAACGCACAGCTGGATGGCACCGAGTAAGAATGGCTTTGCGCCTGCTTGTACCAGGGGAATTTGGGGTTAAATGCTTGAAGATAACCTCCTGCTTGCCCCCCATACACACACCTTTTTTTTTTCCTTTAAAGCAGAGATCTCAAAGTGGCCTTCTCCACACTGAATAATACTTTTACAGATATGTTTGATTTGTAATGAATAGTGTTTTGAAGTTTTGAAAAATAGTTGCTAATATTTTGAAAGTAGATTTCACATAAAATCTAGATTTCAGCTTCTCGTGGAAAATATTAGATGATTTCACAATACTGGGCCTACATTTTCACCAGGCTACAGTTGGTGGGACCTGAATAATGTCTGCTGCTTTTAAAGGGGGCACAACCTCCAGCTCATTCTGGTCTCCACCATTATCTATGCCAACATCACTCATTTGGGTTAACTGCCTGGTCCCTGTAACCCTCTCTAAAGTTGGAGATCACGTTAGGGAGAATGAAGACGCAGAAGCAATAAGGCAGTGAGGCCCCAGGTGTGTAGCAACTTGGGAGTGGCAAAAGGGAATGTGGACATGATGCCCCTCGGGCCTGGAGCCCCAAGCATCAGCAAAGTATCCTATTCAGAAAGGAACAGAGATGGCAGGGATACCAAGCAGCAAGCTTGACACTGATAAATATCTAGGACAGTCTGAAAATAAAGGGGTCTTTTCCCTAATATCCTGAAATCCCAGTTTCTTGCAAAAATCCTAAAAGGGGCAGGGGAGGGAGAGCCCACAATGACTGAGATTATTTTCCATCAGCCTTTGGGGAGGTGGCTTGAAGTTAGACTTAATGAGAGAAAATAAGACTATGCATCACTTCTTGCACGTGTGCACGTGTGGAATAAGATGTTAAATACCAAAATGAAGATTTAAAGATAGGGCTAAGAGCAAAGGAGTAGGTGAGGTTAGGTTTTGACTAAAATAGCTGTGGAAGTTTTCACGGAGGAGGCGCAA